GTTGAGAGCTAGTATCTGTTCTGTCTCATAAGGTTAGACTTGTTGTTATGTGTTGAGAGCTAGTATTTGTTCTGTCTCATAAGTATAAACTTGTTATGTGTTGAGAGCTAGTATCTGTTCTGTCTCATAAGTATAGACTTGTTGTTATGTGTTGAGAGCTAGTATCTGTTCTGTCTCATAAGGTTAGACTTGTTGTTATGTGTTGAGAGCTAGTATCTGTTCCGTCTCATGAGTTTAGACTTGTATTGTGTTGAGAGCTAGTATCTGTTCTGTCTCATAAGGTTAGACTTGTTATGTGTTGAGAGCTAGTATCTGTTCTGTCTCATAAGGTTAGACTTGTTGTTATGGGTTGAGAGCTAGTATCTGTTCTGTCTCATAAGTATAGACTTGTTATGTGTTGAGAGCTAGTATCTGTTCTGTCTCATAAGTATAGACTTGGACGGAACAGATACTAGCTCTCAACACATAACAAAACAGATACTAGCTCTCAACACATAACAACAAGTCTAAACTTATGAGCTGTCTCATAAGTATAGACTTGTTGTTATGTGTTGAGAGCTAGTATCTGTTCTGTCTCATAAGCATAGACTTGTTATGTGTTGAGAGCTAGTATCTGTTCCGTCTCATGAGTTTAGACTTTTTGTTATGTGTTGAGAGCTAGTATCTGTTCTGTCTCATAAGTATAGACTTGTTGTTATGTGTTGAGAGCTAGTATCTGTTCCGTCTCATGTGTTTAGACTTCTTGTTATGTGTTGAGAGCTAGTATCTGTTCTGTCTCAAGTTTAGACTTGTTGTTATGTGTTCAGAGCTAGTATCTGTTCTGTCTCATAAGTTTAGACTTGTTGTTATGTGTTGAGAGTTAGTATCTGTTCTGTCTCATAAGTATAGACTTGTTGTTATGTGTTGAGAGCTAGTATCTGTTCTGTCTCATAAGTATAGACTTGTTGTTATGTGTTCAGAGCTAGTATCCATTCCTTTTATTTTCAGTATTTTGCAAATGAGACATTCTGGCTCATCTATATTACCTTACCTAGTCTGATTGTGTTCATTTACACAAAATTATTTACTCCATTTGAGGTCTGTTTGTCTTTGTGAAACAACTTCATATATATTAAATTGCTACCTCTGTTTGTGATATGTTTACTTATATGACTGTATTAAATAATCCAATATTGATACTTACTAAAGATTACTCGATTTCTTTATCTCCAGGTATACTGCTGCTTGTTCCAAGTTACTTGTTCAGTATAAGGCCGCCTTTAAGCAAGTGCAGAGTGATGAATTTCCGAACGTGGAATCTTTTCTTAAGAAGTTCAGGGTAAGTTAAGTTTACATTAATCAACTAACTGACAAGTGATTCAAATAAACATACCAGCATTGTTGGTTCCTGGTTTCCTCGAACAATTGATAGAGGAAAAACAATATTGTTAGTACAGGCATTTCTTTAAAACATGCAGTTGACTTTTTATGAAACATGAGAATGTTCATATTGTACCAGAAATATCAAATAAGTAATGTTTATTTATTTATACTTTGTTGATCCATCAAAGCAACTTTAATTAATTTTACTCTGAGTAACTTAGCTTGCATTTTGGGTCTCATTTGAAAACCATTACAACTTTTTCTTTTGTCTGTGATCCTGTGTGCTAACTTCTTAATCAGAATATACCAGATAATTGTGTTATTGAAGAATGCCTGTTTACTGTCAGTATGGCATTTCATTTAATTTTGAGTTTCTTCTACATTATTTTAAAACAAGCTTCAAATTTCAATTACACCTTTCTTCAAAATGTAAGAAATGGTTGTGTCATAGAGAGAAACAAACTAAATAATATTAAAACTCTTAATTTCAGATTAGTTGCAGTCCTTATTTATGTATTAGGTTGTCAAGAAATTAATGTTGCATCTTGGAACAGTTTCATTAACCCCCCCCCCCCCAAAAAAAAACGTACAGTACATCACGTATAATAGTTAAACAAACTACCTAAGCGTCACATTAGTGTAGCCTATATAATGTGTAAAGTTTAGTATACTCTAATCCCTTATAGTGATGGCACACAATCAGAATGCAATGCTGTTTAAATACAAGAAGGGAAACAACGTTTCTGTACCCACAAAGAATATGAAAGAAGTTTATGGAAGTGTTTTGAACATTCATAAGTGTCAATGATGATTCAGAAAAATTCGTTCAGGTGATTTTAGCCTTAAAAACTGATGGCAGGGGCCAACATGTTGGAATTGATATTGATGCTCTGAAGACGCTTGTCGAGTCTAACCCAAGGAAACAGAGTTGATATATAAGTTGTTTGGATTTCTTCATTTAGAAAAAAAGTGACATTGATTTGTTGAGGACCTAATAGTTGTCCATGAATGCTAACGTTGTACATGAGAAAAGTGAAAACTTGCACTTTTAATAGTGTTTTAAAGAATATATTTTATCAGATGCCACATGTTATCTACTGGGAACAAGCATTCATTTAAGAAAAATAAATTTTCCAAACCACAAAATCCTCTTACTTATGGAATTAAAAAAATACAAGTTCAAACAGAAACTCTTCATATCTGTTGGTGTTTCATGTATGACTAATTCAGGAAGTTATGATGCTGTTAAGACTAGAAACAAAACAAGTTCCAATCAATGTTGTTTTGCAAATTTTCAAGTTTAATTTGAAAAATATAATTTCTAAAGGTTTTAAAAAATTACATCTGTTTTTATGGAGTTAATATTTGGCATTACAGTTTTAGTTTGTTTTTCTATACTGTTACTATCTAATGTGGAAGTGTAGTAAATCTGCTTTAATTTAACAGTCAGTTTACTTATTTCCTAGTTAATTTCAAGCTCTTCAGTAATCATTTACAACATATGGCAGCATTCTAGCCTATGCAAGGGATATTTCCAGGCTGAACTGATTTCCTCAAAGAATATTAAGTAGTTCCTCTTTATAACTGGAGGATTGGCAGGATATATTATGAAGTAATATTCGACTTAGCTAAAACTAAATTAATTTGAACAAAGAAATAAATATATGACATGATGTGTAACAAACAATATAAATAATCTTTATGGATGCTGGAGATCCACTCTCACTGGATTCACAAAGTAATTAAACTGGCATTTTTCCTCAAGACTTATTTCTGCTAACCAATTTACTTAAGATCTAGTACCTGAATGTTTAAATCTCACACTTCTTACTTAACAGAAAATGTTGGACTTACCAGAGTGACTAACACTACCCATGTAACTGGTCATTCTTGTTCAAACATAGGAAAGGTTGTAACCTTGAAATACAACATGACAGTGCTCTACACAATTTTGCATAATGTGCAGCATTACAGCCATGCCTCCATGGGCAGAACAGGTGTAACCTCATTAGAATGACAAGGAATAAAAGCAGCCAGAATGACATCAACTTAAAAGATTTCTTGGCCAAGTGTTATGTGAAAACTGCACAGCTGTACAGTAAACAAATATTTTTGAAAATACTTAAATTAAAATGAGAAGGTTGAAAATGCATGGTATGCATGCATACCACATTCATATTAAAAGTAAACACTTCTTTGACATAGCCTGTTGTGCCCCATGGCTGTGTATATGAAATTTAATAATTAGACCACGAGTTCACTGAAAATAGTCACCACAAGATGTTAGAAAACTGTATGTTATCTTGATATGTTTAGAACTTCATTTTAATAATGATAGTCAGTTGTACAAAATGTTGATTTAGAACTACAGTGATATGGGACTTATTAAAGATTTTTGTTTTACTTTTAGCCATAAAAACACAAGTTATTATTTGGTAGCAATACATTACAATGATAATTTGATATATTTTGCAACTTTATTCAGCTGGATTGCCCTGCGGCAATGGAGAGAATAAAAGAAGATAGACCAATCACCATAAGAGATGATAAAGGAAATACGAGCAAGAGTATTGCTAGTATCGTATCTGTAAGTTATAACTACTTTAATGTTTTCAAAAAAACTACGAACAACGCTGCTGTCTCTTAGTCCCTTTTAAAGTTAGCAGATAGTATTATTAGTATTGTATCAATAAACTATATTTTCTTAAGACTTAAAATTACCAATAAAGCAAAGAGCAGTACTTGTATGAGCAAGCTACAGGTTCTTTTAAAGCCAAACTTTTCATCATTGGTCAATTTCATAAGCTTTATGGCTTTTCTTAATGTTAGCACTAAGAGATATCAGGTCAACACCAAACTACTGTACACTTGATCAGTGATAATGGTACTTAGGGATATCAGGTTAAACTAAACTGCTGTTTACTTGATTGATAATGGTACTAAGAGATATCAGGTTAACACCAAACTACTGTTCACATGATCAGTGATAATGGTACTAAGAGATATCAGGTTAACACCAAACTAGTGTTCACTTGATTGATAATGGTACCAAGAGATATCAGGTTAAACTAAACTACTGTTCACTTGATTGATAATGGTACTAAGAGATATCAGGTTGACACCAAACTAGTGTTCACTTGATTGATAATGGTATTAAGGGATATCAGGTTAACACCAAACTAGTGTTCACTTGATTGATAATGGTACTAAGGAATATCAGGTTAAACTAAACTACTGTTTACTTGATTGATAATGGTACTAAGGGATATCAGGTTAACACCAAACTAGTGTTCACTTGATTGATAATGGTACTAAGGGATATCAGGTTAAACTAAAGTACTGTTCACATGATTGATAATGGTACTAAGAAATATCAAGTTAAACTAAACTACTGTTTACTTGATTGATAATGGTACTAAGAGATTTCAGGTTAAACTAAACTGCTGTTTACTTGATTGATAATGGTACTAAGAGATATCAGGTTAAACTAAACTGCTGTTTACTTGATTGATAAAGGTACTAAGAGATACAATTTGCTGTTCTTGTGGTGGTTGTTGATGGACGGTACTACAAATTTAAAGAAAATAGATTAATATTTGATATGAAACTTAAAACACTATTAAAAACCCTTTATCATGGTTGCATTGTTGAACGAATGTTATTAATCTGTTTTATCTTCTTTTTTTTTTGACAGCTGTTTATCACAACTCTTGACAAGCTAAGATTGGATATAAAATCCATGGATCAGGTAGGCTTCATTAAAATAGTTACTGGTGTTAAATACTGAAAGCTAACAAGACACTGGGAACTTTAGGCCTAATAATTGTGATAGAATCCTACTTCCCTAATTTCTATCAGGTGTATTCTACCTGTTGGTTTCCATTTTTTTTACCAAATTTTGGTGTTTAAAACTAGAAAAGTAATTTTAAAACAGAAGAAGGATTTAAAATTCTCATTCAGAGGAGTCTGTAAAACTTTCTATACTTCAGTGTGGTTTTTATACCTAATTGAAATGCTTGTTTAATATATACACCTGGAAAAAAG